CGCAAAACCAAATTAGTTTGCAAATGAGTGTATTTCGCTAATAAACAACCTATATTTGAAACCCGAAACCGCTTGGGGGGGGGGGGCAGCTAAGTAGAGGAATCAATGATAAGAGCTTAGGGGAAAGCCAAGGTGTTCAAATGAAAAACAAAAGAAAAACATCCAATTCAAAGTTGTTTTTCACCAAGTCAATCATACAGACTGGTACAATAGGATATTTGAACACGGTACCAGACCAAGCAGAGAAGAGGAAAACGCACTATCGGTCAACTCGGGAGAGCGCCGTGACTGATGCAAACATGGGCAGTTGTGTGATTAATCACTTCGAAGAATTCTTATCCATTTCGATACCAGAGGTGATTTGAAAAGAAAGTGCAAATGCCTGGTGAAACAAAATATACGGCACCCATTTCGCATCACGGTGACGACCTTCAAACCCGAGTAGGGCAAGGGATTAATACAGAGGGTAGATTATGGACAGAACAGTCATTTTGCTCGGTGTTTTTTTGGCGCCTCTGTGAGCATTACAGACTATTCATATCACAGTTCCTGATGGTGGTATTTAAGAGTGAGCGTTGGTCGCTGAGATGAGTTCTTTAAGTATCACAGCCTGTCTGTCTGTCTGAATCACAGTAGCTATAAAACTTCGGCTGGGGGGAATCATAGAGGTAATAGGAATACGGCTGAGCTGGGACATACAGCTAGCCGAACACAGATTGGCAAAAACAGAGTTGAGGATTGAAAAATACTATAAGCACAGGCCTTCTGAAGTACGATTCAACGAGGTAATGGCCTCGCTTTCTCGGGCCTCTTTGGAACGGTTGCGTTTCTCGTAATCAAATCTAAAAAGAAACGAACAAGAAAAAGTTCATCAAAGTTTAAAATATCGCGTACAACAGCATGGTTAAAGTGCAAATGGTACAGGTAAATAGATTGTGGTAAAAAAACATTGGAAATGAGGCTTTGAGGAAGTGGATAAGTAAAAGGTGTATTGATGACCAGTGTAGTAAAGGTTTTCAAAGAAACAGCAAAAGCAGTTTGTTGATTTGTGAATTGGACCTCAGAATGTCTCACTACGATCAAGGGTGAGTGTTCTGGGAACGAGATAACTCGCCTACTTCACTCTAGTAAAGCACTCCCACGATACACACTAGAACGTGAAATTTGCTCCCCTTTGATGCGGCATCTGAGGTAAAAGGATGAAATTCGGTCTTGATAGCATTAGCTTGAGTGACGGCTCACTGGTCGCCCAGCTACGAAAGGTGGGAAAACACCGATTCCCAACGGACATTGGCGAAAACAGCTCTGGTGGACCAGCTCATGGTCCAATTCGCCTCCGGCCACCCTGTGCTGAACACTGCCCGCAGTGACAAGCTCAAGTCATTCTATCAGCGACCTGAACTAGTTTTTCTTTGATAGATAGCCAATGTCCTCTCTCAATCGCTTTCCCATTCATGTACACGCCATGCTCATTCAACTATGTTACACACTGCTCTCTTAACCTTTGCCACTGTATGACTTGAAAAGACCTTGCCGAATAACGAGACAGAATTCACTGAGCATCAGATCGGCATACGCAGTAAGTCTGAGGATGGTTTGTACAGCAGAAGCCGCTGCTGTACGCGATCATAAACCAAACGCATGTTTACGGAAAAAACCGTAGCTGTAGCACCCTTTCGGTGCCTAGCTGCCATGCCACACGAGGGCTGGGATACTGCCAGGTTGCCCAAGCCTAGACAGGGGAAGTCGAGATGCAGAGGTCGCGTTCGAACCACGGACCTTCCCGTCAGTAAATTCGCGCTTGAACCACTGAGCGATCTCGCCCCATGTTTACAGAAACATTCTATGCAATACCCACCCCTAGTTTGGTCTGCACAAACAGTCGCTGTGCTTGTGTTTGACAGGTCACAAGTCTCGTAATGAAGTACCTGAGTAAAGCTTTCCCGGCCAGCAGATCTTTCTGAACTTTGCGCTCGTGAAAGTTGTTAGATAAGCATGTCGCAATGTTTGGTCTAAACTCGACCGTTTTGTCTTGCTGTTACTGCGGTTGGTGAGAGCTTGCGCTGTAAGACAAGGCGCGACAGGTGGGATTTATGTTGCTGGAACAACAGACATTGGGTCAAATTGGTTTCAGGAGCGACTGATGACGCTTGACTATCGATACCCGCATTTGCGAAAAGACACTTCTCAAATGGTAAAGTAACGGCAAAAAGGAGATTGCAGGTGACCAAATCACGGTACTCACCGGTTTTTCAAAATGCGCGCAACAACCGAGGATGTGGTCACATCAGAGCCACTGTCTATACGTCTAAAGATTCCACGCTGTTTCGGAATCTGCAGAGAATACAAAAGCATTTATGATTGCACAGTATGAATTAGTGAAAACATTTTGGTATAACATATGATTGCACGTATGAATTAGTGAAAACATTTTGGTATAACATAAACTTTGGAGTCCGGGAGTACGATACTTAAAGCAGAGGAGAAGTGGATGGAGATCTTGATCACTAATTTATACATGGATCGCATGTCCTGGAATTCGAAACGATATGTTGCTGGATCTCTTTACTGAACGCTTACGATGACTGTCACGTCAGACAGCAGAAAATTTCCAAATGACTTTTAGCAGTTCTGTTCGCACCGGATAGTTGAACGTTTTCAGGACAGACGTATCACAGCAAGTCCATACGGTATACGAACAATGAAACCACCTCAGTTTCCCGGGGTGAACACCAAATCGTCCGACACTGCGAACCACGGTACGATTTGAGTTTGGAAGTCGTAATTGAATAGACTTCAGAAGTATGTCAGTGAAACCCTAGCGCTCAATGTTGCTACCGTAATCCCTCTCTCTCCCTCTCAGTGAAAACTGCTTAAACAAGAGGATCACAGCTGACACATCACTGCGCCCGCAGAACAGCCAATCCTTCTTCTAATTTGATGTTTTATTAGCTGGTGATGAGATATTTCATCTTGATGCTATCTAAATCCCGTATTTGGATGAGGCGGGATATTAGCAATAGATTCGTCCCTTTCATACGCCTATGCGAACCTGATTTATATTGCAAGGTGGCGAGGAGTTCCGAAATAACGATCTGTCTGAATGAGGATGGATAGACATTACACCAACAATGTGAGAATGTGCAAATTCCTAATTGTCTCTTAGGTTAAACACCCTTGACAGCAAGACCGACAACAGTTTGATGTGAAAGCGAGTTAGTGGGCGACCATTGGCCTCGTTTTGAGATGGCCATTGCCTAAAAAATATGGTGACAAACGGTAGTGGCCCCCGAGGACACATGAGATTTACGCATGGATGAACATGATAAGTGTATATTATGCAGTCTGTCTGGTAGCAAACTTCGGCGTAAAGTCATCCGAGTGACAGTTACTTAAGAAAGTCCGAGTTTCGCGAACCGCTTCGCCTGCGACGAACAGCTCGAGTAGCTCCAGCTGGACCAACCGTCACGAAGAGACTGGACCTTACCGTGGTGTGACGACTTGTGCACCTCAGCGATCGATTGAGCTATAGTGGGGAGTGTCCCAGTGATACTCACAGAGTCTCTCATACCAGGTTGGTCAATGGTTAGAGGTCTGACGAACACAGTCTCCTGGACCTCCAGGTTGGGGGTTGGAACATGTGGCGACTTGTTCCATAGAAATGGTAATGCATTTGAATTTCCCACCAAACACTGCTGTCTGCGGTTAGGCAGTTGAGCCAAAGGCTTTGGTTAAGGACCCTAATCGTCCTCCTGTCTAGGTGTGGGCGCCCTGGAAGTATCCCAGCCCTCATACAACCGTACGGCAGTGAAGCATCGGTGTTGAAACTGACATCATGCTGCCTAGGATGATGATTGACCAACTGACATCCCTGTAATGGATCTTCACCTTCTCCTCCCAAAACTCACTGTATCAAGCTCCATGTCCTTCCTTCCTTTATTCAACCAAGACTGAATGCACTAGCAAGGTACTAACGGGACATGATGACTACGTACGTAAATGTTTGAGTCTCTGCATTTTCCATTTGCAACACCAGAAAACAAGCCAGTGATAGCAATGTTGTGGAATGTAGGTAACTCGGGTGCGTTGTTTGGTTGTTGGTCTGTTCGCCGAGCTTGGCAGTTGGATTGCAAACTTTTCACCAATCGGGGTGACATCGTCACTGCACTAACAGTAAAAAATAAATCGTTCACACCCTTCCGGTGCCTAGCTGCCACACCACCCGAAGGAAGCAAGAGGGCCGGGATAGTGTCAGGTTGCTCAAGCCTAGACAGGGGAAGTCGAAAAGCAGGGGTCGGGTTCGAACCACGGACCTTCCGACCAATAAATTCGCGCTCTAACAAGTGAGCCATCTTCTCCGCCGGAAGACCAATGTACAATAATGTCTGAATGATAAGAACGTATTTTAGATGGTCAACATAGCCAGGTAGGCACAAAACTTATCGATAGGAAGTCAATATTTGCGGACTATGTATGCCAGCTTAAAATTCAAAATTATGACTCTGTTTGCTGAAACGGGTATCCGTTTGAAAACGCTTTGTTCGGATGCTGGTGATGCATTAGTGCAACTGCTGTCAAAGAGAATCATCCATCCTATGAATATGACACTGATAAGTGTGTACAAACAGGAAGTGAAGCGGTCTGTTTCATGGAACACCGCAATCCCCGTTAACGTCCAATAGTCGTAAACGTGATATTAAACTTTTTAGGTATGTTTTTTAGTACAGTACACTCCAGGAAGCCACCCCAATCAGCAAACTGCAAATACGCTTGTTCCTCAAGGGAGAGACTTGAATCAAAACAAGATTCGTCAAGTTTATGAATGCCTCTTTATAGGTCTGAGCAACAGGACCGGATAAGTCGCGGTAGTGAAGCATCAGCACTAATGTTGCTGTCTTTGATGATGATGATGGATAAGTCGCGAAGAAACTAACGAGCCAGTAGGTAACTGTGCAAAGCTGAATAGAGAACAACCGGTCATAGACATCAAAACCAACCAGGGGGCGAGATGGCTTAAGTGGTCAGAGCGCGAATTTACTGACCGGAAGGTCCGTGCTTCCAACCCGACCTCTGCCTCTCGACTTCCCCTGTGTGGCTAGGGCAACCTGGCAGTATATCAGCCCTCGTGCTTCCTTCGGGTAGCATGGCAGCTAGGCAACGGAAGGGTGTCACAGCTGAACGACCTAACCAAGCGAAGATGCAAGCTAAACACGTTCGCTTCCCGAATGCCCTGCCCTATGTGACATGGGTCAAATGCAAGTAGTAGCCAACTCATTCAACAAAGTAATGGATAACTTACCTTCATTGGGTCCTCTCCGTTGGTGAGCAACCGCAGTTCAGTATCCTTACCAACTACAACATAGTTGACCTGAAAAAGAACGACTGAACGGATGTACCTACTTCAGACAAGGACAAAAAGAATCTATCCAATAAACGGCCGAGAAACCACAAAATATGAGGATGGCAAAAGGACAGCAGCACCGCTACACATGAGGATGGTAACAAAGAGAACTGAAACTTGTAGTAAAACAAACAGGCGGTCCTGTAGACAAATTTGTTTACCTGGGCAGCTGTATCAGTTCCGGTGGTCTGGCGAAAGATGATATTTCCATGCGTATTGGAAAGGCAAGAGC